AGTTTGTATAACTGTTAATGTGAGCATGGTAGATGTTCCTCTGAGTTTGTATAACTGTTAATGTGAGCATGGTAGATGTTCCTCTGAGTTTGTATAACTGTTAATGTGAGCATGGTAGATGTTCCTCTGAGTTTGTATAACTGTTAATGTGAGCATGGTAGATGTTCCTCTGAGTTTGTATAACTGTTAATGTGAGCATGGTAGATGTTCCTCTGAGTTTGTATAACTGTTAATGTGAGCATGGTAGATGTTCCTCTGAGTTTGTATAACTGTTAATGTGAGCATGGTAGATGTTCCTCTGAGTTTGTATAACTGTTAATGTGAGCATGGTAGATGTTCCTCTGAGTTTGTATAACTGTTAATGTGAGCATGGTAGATGTTCCTCTGAGTTTGTATAACTGTTAATGTGAGCATGGTAGATGTTCCTCTGAGTTTGTATAACTGTTAATGTGAGCATGGTAGATGTTCCTCTGAGTTTGTATAACTGTTAATGTGAGCATGGTAGATGTTCCTCTGAGTTTGTATAACTGTTAATGTGAGCATGGTAGATGTTCCTCTGAGTTTGTATAACTGTTAATGTGAGCATGGTAGATGTTCCTCTGAGTTTGTATAACTGTTAATGTGAGCATGGTAGATGTTCCTCTGAGTTTGTATAACTGTTAATGTGAGCATGGTAGATGTTCCTCTGAGTTTGTATAACTGTTAATGTGAGCATGGTAGATGTTCCTCTGAGTTTGTATAACTGTTAATGTGAGCATGGTAGATGTTCCTCTGAGTTTGTATAACTGTTAATGTGAGCATGGTAGATGTTACTCTGAGTTTGTATAACTGTTAATGTGATCATGGTAGATGTTACTCTGAGTTTGTATAACTGTTAATGTGAGCATGGTAGATGTTACTCTGAGTTTGTATAACTGTTAATGTGATCATGGTAGATGTTCCTCTGAGTTTGTATAACTGTTAACGTGGGCATGGTAATGTTCCTCTGAGTTAGTATAACTGTTAATGTGAGCATGGTAGATGTTACTCTAAGTTTGTGTCACAATTAAGAATCCCTGCCAAACTGTAACTAAGAATTAGAAACTTTTTATCTGCATGACATTAACTTTATCAAATCACTTTTTTTTATAGAAACTCATACCTTACAAAAATTTGGTTAGAAAAATAGTAAAGACGTTATAAACAATAACAGAAATCAATAACAGTGCTGTGGGAGTAAAATAAACAATGGCGCCAGACCAAGATTCGTACCCTTGACCTCTAGTCACATTTTTGTCCATCTTACTGACTAAGCTACCTGATCAGCAGTGGTCCCCGGCCCAATAAGACAACAGATGTATCTAGAATAAGCAATTCGGATTGATATGACTTACCTTTGCCCCGCTTTGACCATCAATGCACATATCAGAGAAACTAACTTAAACGCAAAACCTTAATGTTGATGGAGATGCGGACAAAGTCAATGGACCATGAAAGGTAGGTCGTATCAAGCATTTGATGCATGGGTTGAGATGTACTACCTAAGATGCATCTGTGGTTCAAGTTTGGTTGGTCTAGAACTTAAACTTTCAGTGAAACTAACTTAAATGCAAAAACTTAATATTGATGTCGCCGCCGGAAATGCAACACCTTAGTCTCGCTTCCGCTACTTCATGGCAGCGAGACAAAAATTAAGGGGAGGTTTCTCTATGTATGGAGAAACTGCAGCAGAATTCTCTTGCGTTTTGCCTGTAGTGGGACAGGGATCCTTAATGTCAGCCTCGTAGACATTGCCCTGAGATTGTAAAGCTGTGTATATGAGTATAGCGGGTGCAGCTCCAATTATAGATATAAGTTGGTTAGAGTGTCTCACATCAAGTCTGATAAACTGTCTATTGATTTGCTGATACAATCTTATCTTTAAATCTTATCGCTGAATGTGGAGCAGCCTGTTGCTATCAGGCAGGGGCACAGCATTGTAGTATTTATATATGGTTATTAAGAAAGTCACTGACCTGCATTTCTTAGGACATTTATCTTTTACTTAAAAGTAGGGGCAACTTATACCACCGGGGTTGTTGACTTGTTATCAGGAACGACATTGTATTCTCATTAATCATGTTTCAGTCAGTATCAGGAAATTTTAGGAGCAGGTGAACAAATGGAGTTCTATTATGTGTGTACATAGATCAGAGATGATATCACAGCACTCTAAGGGAGTTAACTTGTTACAAATTATCATATACAATTTGTGTATCACTATACCTCACACACCGGTTATGACATCAGATTTTGAGGCTAGTATTTACGTGTTAGCATGAGGTGCTTGCTACTTATGTCTAAATCATAAATCTCTCTGAAGGCTATGTATTTACCTGTTAGCACGAGGCGCTGGCTATTCTCCCTCTAACATACATCTCTCTGGAGACACCCCATTATTTACCTGTTACGACACCAAATTCTGAGGCTATGTATTTACCTGTTAGAACGAGGCGCTCGCTATTCTCCCTCTAACATACATCTCTCTGGAGACACCCCATTATTTACCTGTTACGACACCAGATTCTGAGGCTAGTATTTACCTGTTAGAACGAGGTGCTCGCTATTCTCCCTTTAACATACATCTCTCTGGAGACACCCCATTATTTACCTCTTACGACACCAAATTCTGAGGCTATGTATTTACCTGTTAGAACGAGGCTCTCGCTATTCTCCCTTTAACATACATCTCTCTGGAGACGCCCCATTATTTACCTGTTATGACCCCAAATTCTGAAGCTATGTATTTGCCTGTTAGAACGAGGCGCTCGCTATTCTCCCTCTAACATACATCTCTCTGGAGACACCCCATTATTTACCTATTATGACACCAAATTCTGAAGCTATGTATTTACCTGTTAGAATGAGGCGCTCGCTATTCTCCCTCTAACATACATCTCTCTGGAGACCCCCCATTATTTACCTGTTACGACACCAGATTCTGAGGCTAGTATTTACCTGTTAGAAGGAGGCGCTCGCTATTCTCCCTTTAACATACATCTCTCTGGAGACACCCCATTGTTAGAACGAGGCGCTCGCTATTCTCCCCCTAACATACATCTCTCTGGAGACACCCCATTAGTTACCTGTTCCGACACCAAATTCTGAGGCTATGTATTTCCCTGTTAGCACGAGGCGCTCGCTATTCTCTCTCTCACATACATCTCTCTGGAGACACCCCATTATTCACCTGTTATGACACCAAATTCTGAAGCTATGTATATACCTGTTAGAATGAGGCGCTCGCTATTCTCCCTTTAACATACATCTCTCTGGAGACACCCCATTGTTAGAACGAGGCGCTCGCTATTCTCCCCCTAACATACATCTCTCTGGAGACACCCAATCATTTCCGTGTTACGACACCAGATTCTGAGGCTAGTATTTACCTGTTAGAAGGAGGCGCTCGCTATTCTCCCTCTAACATACATCTCTCTGGAGCCCCCCCATTATTTACCTGTTATGACACCAGATTCTGAGGCTAGTATTTACCTGTTAGAAGGAGGCGCTCGCTATTCTCCCTCTAACATCCATCTCTCTGGAGACACCCCATTATTTTCCTGTTATGACACCAAATTCTGAGGCTATGTATTTCCCTGTTAGCACGAGGCGCTCGCTATTCTCTCTCTCACATACATCTCTCTGGAGACACCCCATTGTTAGAACGAGGCGCTCGCTATTCTCCCCCTAACATACATCTCTCTGGAGACACCCCATTGTTAGAACGAGGCGCTCGCTATTCTCCCCCTAACATACATCTCTCTGGAGACACCCAATCATTTCCGTGTTACGACACCAGATTCTGAGGCTAGTATTTACCTGTTAGAACAGACACCCCATTATTTACCTATTATGACACCAAATTCTAAAGCTATGTATTTACCTGTTAGAATGAGGCGCTCGCTATTCTCCCTTTAACATACATCTCTCTGGAGACACCCCATTAGTTACCTGTTCCGACACCAAATTCTGAGGCTATGTATTTACCTGTTAGCACGAGGCGCTCGCTATTCTCTCTCTCACATACATGTCTCTGGAGACACCCCATTATTTACCTATTATGACACCAAATTCTGAAGCTATGTATATACCTGTTAGAATGAGGCGCTCGCTATTCTCCCTCTAACATACATCTCTCTGTTGACACCCCATTATTTACCTGTTACGACACCAAATTCTGAGGCCATGTATTTACCTGTTAGAAGGAGGCGCTCGCTATTCTCCCTCTAACATACATCTCTCTGTTGACACCCCATTATTTACCTGTTACGACACTGAATTCTGAGGCTATGTATTTACCTGTTAGAAGGAGGCGCTCGCTATTCTCCCTTTAACATACATCTCTCTGGAGACACCCCATTGTTAGAACGAGGCGCTCGCTATTCTCCCTCTAACATCCATCTCTCTGGAGACACCCCATTATTTAGCTATTATGACACCAAATTCTGAAGCTATGTATATACCTGTTAGAATGAGGCGCTCGCTATTCTCCCTCTAACATACATCTCTCTGGAGACTCCCCATTATTTACCTATTATGACACCAAATTCTGAGGCTATGTATTTACCTGTTAGCACGAGGCGCTCGCTATTCTCTCTCTCACATACATCTCTCTGGAGACACCCCATTATTTACCTGTTACGACACCAAATTCTGAGGCTATGTATTTACCTGTTAGAACGAGGCGCTCGCTATTCTCCCTCTAACATACATCTCTCTGGAGACACCCCATTATTTACCTGTTATGACACCAAATTCTGAGGCTATGTATTTACCTGTTAGAACGAGGCGCTCGCTATTCTCCCTCTAACATACATCTCTCTGGAGACACCCCATTATTTACCTGTTACGACACCAAATTCTGAGGCTATGTATTTACCTGTTAGAACGAGGCGCTCGCTATTCTCCCTCTAACATACATCTCTCTGGAGACACCCCATTATTTACCTGTTACGACACCAAATTCTGAGGCTAGTATTTACCTGTTGGCACGAGGCGCTCGATACTCTCCCCAATGTTCGCCTGTCTTGTATTCTAACAGTAGGTGGATGTCGTTCTCTTCCAACACTTCACCTACAACTGTCAGAGCAAGCACATATATTAGAGAAGGTTATCTACAGTATATAATCTATTACCTGCATTCTATACTGAATTTATTTATATACCTATAGACAACATTAAATACAATTGTTCAAATGTTTATGTTTACCAGGTAAGTATGTTTAGCATACTTAGACATGGATGTATGCAAAAATGTTTTACCTTCAAAACCAAAATAATGGTACATATGTATTACCAACTATGTACTTTTGAAAATTTGATGTATCTTCACTCTATTTAAAGGTCAACAACAGTTCAATTTGATATTTTCAAAAACTAATACCAGGTAGTCTGAGTATTTACTTTGGAAACATCCCTTCCAAGTGTTTCCTTTCATCAAAGTACTTGAACAAAGACCTTTTCCACTGTAGTTTTGAACTTTTTTTGGAAGAGGATGGGGATTATGACAAGTCCATTTAAAACAATTGTGATTTGAATAGTACAAATTATGCCTACGTACTCTTAACATTGTCTGGCATGGTATTGATGAGATCTTTGGCAAATCTGGCACCCAACAAAACCTCTGCCCCCATGTTTGCCAAACGACGGGCCATCACTGGAGCATTTCCACCAAGGAATAACCGGTGTCCCGGCAAGGTCTTAGATGTGTCAGTCAGTTCTTTGAATAGGGTATCATTGCTTATATATCGCCTGAAACAAATATTAAAAAAGTTAATAAGAGGCAGATTCATGAATGGAACATAATACTTCTTACAGGGAAAATTTTGATGTAGTTTATATTAGTTTATGTCTTTTTCGCCTTGTAAATTTATCATTACTGCGAACAGTAGTAAACAATATGGATAGTAATTAAATGTGAAGGATGAATTTAATATTTTGCGAAACTGCATTTTACCGTCGAGGTGCAAAAATTGAATGGGCGAAATTTCCTGGGATACAGTACATGTACATGCATCAATATTTGTTTGACTGAAATAGCTATTAAATGCGAGCATCACTTAAGGGTTTTCTCAAGTCTTATCACAGCTATATGGAGCATACACCAATGATAATACACAGGTTGCAAAAGCCCATCACTAGTTTATCCATACTTCTGGTCATCGCAAGATTTTTTGTAAAAAAATCAGGCAAGTCCTAAGCATTCTTTTCAAAAAATTTATATCCATATTTTTCTCAGTGATTTGGAACAAAATTTTGTTTACAATTGTAAATGTTTTCACCTTTTTTTTTTATCCTGTGACCTGTCGCATGATTTAAGTGAGATTAAAAGAATATGGTTTGGGCGCAAAAATGTATGTATGAGCCTGAGAATGGTTTCATTAATACGGACCAAGTACTCAAATAACTTGGTCCAAAAAATTACTAGACTAATGTTCCTATAGTTATTAAGTCTATGAAGCCTCCTTTTTGAACTTTGATAGGGAAGAACATGATATTTGGTTGGTTTAGGGTTTTGCAACATCATAACAGCAAAGACGAGGCTATTGCCCTATTAGTGTTGCCTAAATGGGTATAGCTAAGATAACATAAGTTTTGACAACAAGTATTACTATTGAGTGATGCTACCATGTAAACTATGAATTCCATATCGGGTCATGTCACCCATATATATATATATACATGATATATAGAAGTCTTGACCTATATTGGAAGAGAGATGAAGTTTCCATCAATGCTAATTCAGATTTTTATTGCCCACGCTATGTAAACTTTGATCATTTGAAGACATTTTACGCAGAGTTTAACTTCAAGTCACACAATTAGGAGATCAACAGAAATAGCATATATTACAAACCAGTGTATGAATGCTAACCCATTTGCAGTCAATTAATGTTAATCGCCCCAGTGTGATTTACACCCCGCTTGCTCCATAACAAGGCATGTGATGGATTTAATACCCGTCCGGGGCAGAGGAGGCCAGGTATTATTAATATAGGTACTAACATGGGTCATACTTACTCAGCTGCTGCACCATGCTTGAAAAAGTAAGCTAATAATTGTGACAGTTCTTCTTCTGTCTCCACCGAGTCGTGATGCTTTGGGGTAGTTGGAGGCTGAATGTTTAATTTATTAAACAATGGCATTGCTTCTACAAGAATGTCTTGGCAGCCTCCAAATCCAAGCGCCACTCGACTTCCAACGAGAGCCACCTTTTTCTCAGCTCGCAAGAGGCCTGACAAAACTTGATACAATCGATTCTGTTCCCCGTCGGCCGGTTGCTGTGGTTTTGGTTCTTTGTGATACTTTTGAACATACAAATAGGCCAACATTGCCACCAAAAGAGATATCAGTGTTCCTGTTCTTAGAGAAATCATGTTGTCAACGATGTCCTCTACGATGACAAGTATCCTGCTGTGAACTCCGACCTCCTTATTAACCCGGAACCGGTTGTCAGGCGCGTTCGATGTAAAAAAAAGTAAGAAAACATTGTTAAGGGTGCATGACGCATGACTGTGTCCAAAAATAATCTGGACCTAGGGTGCATTCGCGTATCCGGTTGAAACGGTTGAACCTGTAAAGAAAACGACAGGTACAGATTTGGACCGAGGCTGACCTCAGGAAAATTTGGTACGTGCAGGGCTACATTCGCGTTTCCCGGTTGAAACGGTACGTGTGGCGCAGAAATTTTCCACGATAAACGAACACACTTGGACCAGCTAAAAAATCCACAGTTTCGGAGAATAAAAAACAATGTATCAAGAATATTATGCCCTTTTCTCACGCGTCCACTGAATTACATAACGGATCTTAAAAATTACATGTGGCTTGACATTGTTTAAGAAAGAAATAACGCAAATTGGAAATAGTCAGCATTTTAGTTTCGGTCAGGTACGTCTGGACCCCTCAATCTACACGTACCAAATTTTCCTGAGGTCAGCCTCGGTCCAAATCTGTACCTGTCGTTTTCTTTACAGGTTCAACCGTTTCAACCGGATACGCGAATGTAGCCTAGATTGAGGGGTTCAGACGTACCTGACCGAAACTAAAATGAGCTCGGGCCATGAAGGTTACGTCATGTCACGTAACTTGTAATTATGCAAAATAGCCTTTTATGGGAATTTATGCCGACCGGCATTTATACATTTTTTAAACTTTATATTTACAGCTCTATGTAACTTTGTTTGTAGAAACTTTTCAAACTTGGTATTAGCGTAAAGTTTATAACTTTCTCTATCGAGGAAAAATAAGGATTTGTGTTGGGTTTTTTTTATAAGAGAGAAAGAGCTTTTCCGGCGTCATGTATCTCTTTAATCAATTTATCAAATCCAGCAATATATATTTTGAAGGATGTTTTTATGTTGTGTATTTTATGTCAGTGAGAATATTATATATATTTATTCATGTTTTATTAAAATCATGTAATGGTAAATTTATAAATGTATGACGTGAGAAGGCTATGATAAGTTGTAATTACTTTTATCCAATCGTTTGTTTAAACTTAAAAACAAATATGAAAAATCCCGAAACGACTTTTGACATGTCCCGAAACGTCTTTCGTCTTGTTACCGAAACGACATGACACCGAAAATTTCTGTGCCACACGTACCGTTTCACAACCGGGCTACTAGGCTACATTCGCGTATCCCGGTTGAAACGGTACGTGTGGCGCAGAAATTTTCCACGATAAACGAACACACTTGGACCGTTCTATAAGCAGAGCTAAAAATGCACAGTTTCGGAGAATAAAAAACAATGTATCAAGAATATTATGCCCTTCTCTCACGCGTCCACTCAATTACATAACGTATCTTAAAAACTACATGTGGCTTGACATTGTTTTAGAAAGAAATAACGCAAACTAGCAATATTCAGCAGTTTAGTTTCGGCCAGGTACGTCTGGACCCCTCAATCTACACGTACCAAATTTTCCTGAGGTCAGCCTCGGTCCAAATCTGTACCTGTCGTTTTCTTTACAGGTTCAACCGGTTCAACCGTTTCAACCGGATACGCGAATGTACCCCAAGTGTGTTCGTTTATCGTGGAAAATTTCTGCGCCACACGTACCGTTTCAACCGGGATACGCAAATGTAGCCTAAGTAGCCATAATTATTGTTTTGCATGTACAATGTAGTTAGCCTACAGTAAAAGGAAGTGCTGGAATAGTCGTTTCTTAATTAATCGTTTCTCTGTTTGCCTATGCTTTATAAACTAATATAATAACATGTTTATCTCCCTGAATTTCCCGGAAATTCCCGATTAAATATTATTTTCATTTATTTTACGGTCCTAGCTTTCTTAAAGCTTTATAAGATCTATTCGAATGCACCTACAAAAAAAAGCTAGCAATTTTTCTTTATGCCGATAGGGTATCAAAAAACATATTATCATAAGAGTCTTTGACATATGAAGTTTTCTCCCCTTCTTTATAAACTTAAAACTTGAGATAATGACAATTTCCCTGAAAATCTTGCTAAAAAATACTAAACCGGAAGTGAAACATTTGTGACCGCGGGAAATATGGCCGAAGTATCATAGAAGTACAGTCAAGAATAAAAATGAACTGAGGACGATATTTTGGTTTTTTGGTAAGACGTTAGTAAGATGTGCAGTCAAGCCTGTCATGGAAATGTGACTCAAGTTAACTTTGACTTACAAAAAAAATTGATATGTTGATATTTATGACTACCCCCTCCTAGCCTCCNTGCTTAACCCTTCACTAGAATTACAAGTCACATTCCTTGTTATAAATTCCGTAGTAAACATACTGATTTGACAGATCATTATGTTTTTGAGTCACATGCCATATCGGATGTTCTGCCATTACATTTGGTTTTAGTTAAGTTTTAATAGGGTTTAGCATCCTTTTAACAGCTAAGGTAATTTGAAGACGTGTGTCTCCATGTATATAATTGTATGCGTGTAGTATGTCTGCTGGAGGTGGTAACTTGATGTATTTGCCTCCTTAACCTTGATAGTGCAGATATTATGCCAACTTCAGAGTGAAATAGCATGCCAAATTAGTTTGTGGGTCATCCAACATGGAAAACATTTACAGTGCATTTGGCAGACTTAGAATGGGAATTATGCCAAAAAGTTTGATATATATCTCATTGTAATATAATTGTTCATTGCATTACAGTTAGAGTCCAGCCAAGCCGTCACGCTGGATGCAGATGATATGATTGCGGCCTGTTTTACCCAGGATTTTGTGCCCTTTGGTAGGGAGTACAGTCGGCGGCATCCTGGGACATTCCAACTGCAGGTCCAAAATACTGTCAGTGCCGAGCATGGGGTGCCACTCCTCAAGTCCTTCCGGGACATCTCCATACAGGAACATAACAAGGTATATATAGAGGTTACAAATGCTGGACTGGATTGATAATCGTTCATCATCTGTATATTAACCACTGTTTGGTGTTGACATATCAACCCTGCTGGGTTTTAATCCTATTCTGGTTGTAGCTTTTACTGTTCTATTACATCTTAGTGCTGTGAAATTTTGAACTAGAAATGTTCAAAATGTTTGGAAATGTTTCTGAGATCAGGGGTGCAAAATTCCACTTGCCCGACACCTGGTACAACCAGTTTTAGGGCTCAGGCAAGTGCAAAAAATTGGCCCACTTGCCCGGGGCAATTGCAGTAGACATTCTTTAACATGTTAAAGGTGAATAAATAATAACTTATATTTATGGCTGTATTTTAGTGGAATACATTGAAACAAATTACAACAAGCAAATATTCATGAAAAACAACTTTATTCTTCGTTTTGAGGAAAAAATTGCTGTTATAAATAAGAATACTATCAGTCTTTCCATCATTTAAACTTTAAGGCTGATGAAAATAAGTAAAACTCAAGCTAAAATATAAAATAGAGATAGATAAAGGATTTAGTCACCTTTTGAATTATTGTATGCACTAGTTAACAACTTAGGGACATTGTTTTGTACCCAGATTTCAGGAGTTAAAGAATAAGCAAACGTAAATAAATTTAAATAAAAAAGAAAGAAAAAAATAAATCTATCACTGCATTATAATAGTAAATAAAATAATTGATCTTAATATTTGCAATTACTGAGAGAAAAAAACAACCCCTTAAATATTTCATGAACATATTTTTATTTAAAAAAAAAGAAATGTTTATCTTTTTTTTGTCTGTGTATATGCATTTTATGGGGCAAGTTGAAATAATATTCAGGCAAGTGGATTTCTAAGGTCTATTTGCCTGGGTCCGAGCCCGCTGGGATAAGGGCTTTGAAAAAAGAATTATACCTCGGGAGGTGATGACTGTCACTCCATCTGTGGTTTAAATTCTGGGCTATGGGTGGGTCGATTGCACTTTTCCTGTCTATTACAAGACAATGTTATAACTGTTCAAGGGCAGCTTAATCTTCAATCAATGAAAGCTGCAGTTTCAAAAAGAAAAAGAAAATGAAAATAGTGATGGGAAAAAAAAGGAAGTTTTGCTAAAATAAGGATTGGTTATTTGGACCCCAAGAAGAGCCAAGGAAACGAGGAAAGCAGATCGTCCAAAAGTGTTGGATACATTTCTGCGGTTGGAGATGATATTTATAACTTGTGGTTTATGTATTTACAGAAGGAACAATGGCTATTCCACCAGATTCCCCATGAGGTAAACCAGGATTTGTGTGATGAAGAGTTGTATTTCAGTGGCAACACTGTCGTCTGGAGCAGGGGTGGACAGAATGGTGCACGCTCCATTGTCAAAACATTCACTGTGGACACGCCAGTGGTTCAGGTAAATTGGGAAGTCACTGGGATGATGTCTACATATATTCCCAGCTTAAAGCCAGATATGGTCCAGTTCCGATAGTACACATATGTATGTCATAATGTTTTCAATACCTTATTTGCTGTAACAGTGTTGTGACACTTTTTATACGCCTGTTTTCAGGTCACATCATGGAATGACGCTATTTGTCATTGTGCAATATGTCATATCCAGGCCATAACTCTGTACTGTTGTAGTGCCCATGACTCATTTATGTGGCACGTCACCTTCTTGACCCAAGGTCATATATCTCAAAGGGTCAAGGCCATCACTCTACCCTTTCACATAATCTTAATAATTTTTCATAGCATTTCCACATATTAGCTTTATATAGGGTGTCTGGCAACTTTTGACTAAAGGTCATATCTCCAAGGTCAAGTTCATTGAGCATAATTATATATTTATAAACATCTAGAATGAATTTCAAAGCCATATACCATCATTGAAATATGCAGGTATATTAAAAATAAATAAAAATAAATGCTTATCCTAAAATATTTCTATGAAATTCGCCAAATGCAACAAAGGAATCTTTTTATCAAAGCAGCTATGGCTAAATGAAAAATATCTATCCCAGTAACATTAATGTAATACTCACACCTTTTTTGTGGAGGTCTCAACACCAGTTTAAATGCTGTCTCTGTTGATAAATTATGGTAATTACAATTTTGGTTTTTGCTTCACTTCTGTATCTGTTATCCTTAGGTAAAGGAACTTGCTGACAATGAAATGAATCTTATCATATTAGAATAAAACCTTTCAACTTTTTTGCTAAAACTTGTTTATTTATTTAGATGCCTGTCTATGGTATTTGTGAATGGATGCTGGAGTATGACCGGATGTTTATAACAGTGAATCTTTTTCAGGCCCTATGGAGTAACTTCATCCTGCCAGCCTCAGGGGTTCCAGAAGAGACAGCAGGATTCAGTCCACAAGGTGGAGTCTTTTTTTTGTAGTTTAGACTTTCTGTATTTTTTCATGTGCATTGAAAAGGCAGTATTCATTTTTGTGCAATTTTTTATGGAAATCTCCACAAATTAAATGTATTAATTCTCAATGATTCATGTATCTTTAAAATGAAATCTGTTCAACTGAACTGCTGGTTAATACCTCTTTAACAGAAATATCCTGGGAGACAGAGTCCTCTAAAAAAAATATGTGTAATGTTTGGTCTCTAGAATCCTATAAATTGGTTTGACCTATGTTGTTGTATTCAAAGCAGGTGAACTACAGAGTGGTGTCTGTGTGGTGGAGTCGGGGTCAATCAGCTTCTTCATAGAGAAGGGAGGGGAGTACAATATTGCCCTTCCATTCCAGGTAAGTACGGCCGCAGATTTGGCTGATGTGCCAGCCCATCATGTTCTGATACTCTGTGTTCTCCTCAACTGTTTCCGCATCATGGTACCAAGCTTTCATTTTTTCATATCATGCTGCTATTAAACAATGCATGTTTTCAAAATTCCTTGTGCTAAGGCCAAAACAAATGTTTGTGTCAGGTACCCCCACCGACCTTAGTTTTTACCTCCAACCCTAGCAATTTTATCTCACTCTAATGCACTTAACACGCCGAAAATTGTAAGCGTCTTTAAGACACCTCTCTATTTCATAGTCGGGTATCAAAACCAAATTTGAATACCATATTACTATTTTAAAGACTCAACAATGCAATGAAAAATTTATTTTTTGTTATTTCTTAGATGATCCCTTCCTCATGTCTCAAAAAAAAAGGATTTTCAAATCCCTACCAACCTACCCAACTATTTTCAGCCATGTTTCCTGAAACACACACATTTTTTAATATTTTTTTTTGACTAAGTGATTTATACAGAAATTGTTGGCAATAACCTTCTATACAGTACTATGATATTGCTGTAAGTTTCAGGAATACATGTATTCATTATCATTGTGCTAAAGTTTAAGTATTAATGCTGTAACATGTTGTATTTGACATAATTTAGAAATTTTATATCAAGAACTGGATACCAAGTGATTATTTTGCTGTTGGTACACTATGGGCACATTCGCATATCCGGTTGAAATGGTTGAACCTGTAAAGAAAACGACAGGCACAGACCTGGACCGAGGCTGACCTCTGTTATTTCTTTCTAAAACAATGTCAAGTCACATGTAACTTTTAAGATACGTTGTGTTATTAAGTGGACGGATGAAAGAAGGGCACAATATTCTTGATACATTGTTTTTTATTCTTCGAAACTGTGTATTTTTAGTTCTGCTTATAGAACGGTCCAAGTGCGTTCGTTTATCGTGGAATATTTCTACGCCACATGTACCATTTCAACTGGGATACGCGAATGTAGCCCTGAATACGTGAATGTAGCCCAAACTTGTTCAATATGTTTTGTTGTCGCTTGAAGGTTGCAAGTACGTGGATGATAGAAAATGGACTTTTGTTTGAGAGGACTGTATCACCCACAGAAATAGCCACCGGCAAAAGGTGAGTGGCAAAGCCAGTGAAACTTCGTGTGGATGTCTTATTTCTCTTATCTAGAAACAGAAAATAAGTACATGAATAATGTATGATAATAAATGGATAAATAATCTTTATTAAACGTTGTGTACATTGTCAACAGCAAACATAAGCTCTTTTGAGCTTTTATTAAATAAAACAACATCGCTAAGGGAACAAATGTTGTTTTTGTGGTAGAGGAAAACCCACAGGGGGAAACCACCGTGCCATCGGAGGGATAACATCTAACCCTATCAGACGACACTCTCTTTATTTTCAGAAATTCCCCCAGCCAGACGACAGTGTTCAGCATGTTACACCCGTTGGACGAGGTAGCTCCAGTCATCACCAAAACATCAAGTAAGTCCTGTGTGGCAAACACTTAACATCCTAGACATCTGTCATCATGTCTGTGGTGTGTACCAGGATGTTAAATTGGAAACTATAGATGATAATCTTTGAAAGTAACTGTAAAGATCTGCTGTCAAATTTGGAAAACAATGTCACAATTATATTTTTCATCTTAATATTAGTAGTAATAGTAGGCATTAATATTGATCAAGCATAAATTGAGGTATCCCTCTACCTATATTTGTTTCAAGGTAAATATGGAAAACGAGATCAAGTCTATAAATTAAGTGATGAATAGGCTAAATGCTCATCAACTTAATTCAAATATATACCAGTAACAGTTTATTTTAAAATGATCAAAGACATACAGTAAAGAAGTCTTATGTTTGAACAGGATTTGTTTACCCATTTCATGTTTTAAGTCTAAAAGTGACTCGGTCATTTCAATTTTTCATAGGTGTAACTGTTACACTTTGTTATTCTAGGTTCTGGTGGCTGTCCCAAGATTTCTTACCTGACTGACAACACACAGCATATCATCTTCACCAGTGTGGAACCCTCGCTGGTGTTTACCTACGACACGATGGTGGGCGTCCACTCAGCCTGGCGGGTCCGCAAGGCCAGGCTAGATGTAAGGTCTTAAAACCATTAACTTTTTCATCTGGAGAGATGTTTCTTCACATTCAGTTTCAAAAAAATAAATTCCTTCAACTAAAAAACTCCTCATATTTTTGCAATATATTCTCACTTTGTTGTGGCTATAATATTAATGAATAAAGAAAAGCATGCAAGGGTTCAAAGCTCAATTCAAAATAATGATTTTTAAAGAGGTTAGATAAAATGTTATTGAGCATCTTATAAGATCAGGGTTACCCGGTCATAAGAGGTGGCAGACAGTCAAAGATCTGGCCTCCTCAGGTTCACTTTTCCAAATACAGTCACATTAGTCAAAACTGTAAGATGTTTGAAAAATGCATACAAGTATTGGAATGTTGATAGAAAGGAAAATTCAGCTTTATCAGAACACATTGTAGATATTGTGTATATATATGTTTGTCAGAGTACTTTCAGTATTTAATAAGTAAATTATTATACACAACAAATCTGTACTGGTACAGTGATAAACTTGCATAATGAACACCCTTATCATAAACAAAGGCTATTAAACCGGATTTCATCAGAATTCCTGTGAATGAAAGGGAGGCACTAAAAATATATAGAGAGGGTAACTAGATACTGTAAATATGAAACCATTGATACAAAAATAAATATGTTTACAGTGAAAAAAATTGTTTTTGTTCATCCTCAACAGGAGTGCAACACGGTGTGTGGTTTGTTAGAGAACAGTTTTTACCACCCTGCTGCCATGGCAACCCCCATGGGGATGAACCAGTCCAGCTCCAGCCACTCGCGTTTCATTGGCAGTCTGTCAGCCCAGTCCCCGAGTATCTCTCCAATGAGGAGCTTCTCTGGCCGGGTCAGCTCCCCCGCTATCATTCCTGGTCGCTCTCAGAGCCTCAGCCCAGCTGTTGGCAGTATGGCTGCTGTAAGGTAAACCAGCTTCCGACAAAAAAACAACAACTTGACATGAACTTTGGTAGTCTAATGCACCTGTCAAATCTATTTGAAAAGCCATTCCTTATATATAGCTGTGGACCTTATCACTATTGCTGCCAATTTAAATAGTTTTTTTCAAACAATTTACCTTGAGTAAGAGAAATTTTCAGATTCATCATCTTTACCCAAATGATTTCCCATTAATTGTTGTGAAAAGTATGATTGGAAATTTGACATTTCTAACAATTGAATTTTCATATGTATTATTTTCTTCAGAATATGTTTTATGTGTCAACACTTCTAATGAATTTGTGAGTTTAAATCCAAATTTTTGTTATTGCTCCTGTTGCATAGTCTTTTTCTACATGAGAAGTGACGTCATATGCCTTTCTTTTGTAGCCGTTCTCAGTCCCCAGCCCTGGGGCTCACTTCCATGCACCGCCTCCTGTCCCCTTCCCCCAGTGTGGCCCGTAGCCCTGGGAACTACTTCCGTACTCCGCCTGTAGGCTCCCACAATGTGTCGCTCATTAACGAGAGCTACACAGACTGGGTGGAGCCCCTTAAGCCTGAGGTGTGCTTCGAGCACTTGTGGACGGAACCTGCACCTGCCATCAGGTAAGTGTTCAGGTGCTTCAAGCACCTGTGGACATAGCCTTCACCTGCTGTCGGGTAAGCATTAGGAGTGCTTCAAGCACCTGTGGACATAGCCTTCACCTGCTGTCGGGTAAGGCATTAGGAGTGCTTCGAACACAGCGACAAAAGCTTCTGCTTGCCATTTTATACTGAGTGAGAACCCACTTTACTTAGTGGATGAGATGTGTAATATAAGAAGGCTACCCTGTTTGTTACCAGAGGTTTACGTTGCCATGATAAATACAGACATAAGAATGATTTCATTTAAATATTTTCAGCATATTTTTTTTTTTTACACTGAATGATTTTATCTGAAGGTATTTGCATAGAAATTGAGTGTCAGTCCTATTTATGTTACAGAGATGGATCCCTGGGGAAGTCATCAAAAGCGTTCCTGACACGAGATCTGTGTGGACAGCAGTACCTGTGTTATGTGATATCATACAGGCAACAGCTACGGTAGGTGTGCTCTAAGCCTCTGACCTAGCTACTGTAAAGTTGTTTTATTTTAAGGGACAGTTACTTCATGGTTGAATTGTCCCAATCAGATTTCAAGCAACATGACCAGGTAAAAATATCATGCTCAAAATATCACGCTCATGAGAGTACTTTTGAATTTTGGTGATGGGATCTATTTTACAAGTGTTTTAGATATAAAATAAAATGCGAAGTTGAGTAGTTGTTTTATCTTCTTTACTCGACAGTAAACAGTCAAGCACATATTTTTTCTTTTGTGTCAGTAAATATACAATAAAAGATAATGTAATTTATTGTATTAATATTGGCTGGGTTTTTAATTTCACGCTATCGTTGATAAGAGCAAATATAGCGAAAACGAATCCTCTGCGAATATAACCAACTATACAGTACCTCACATTGCTTTTGTTTGGAGGCACGGTAGTCTAGTGGTAGGACACCGGGCTCATGACCAAAGGGTTGCAGGTTTTAGTCACGGCACTGTGTTGTATCTTTGAACAAGATACTTTACTCCGCTTGTTCCAGTCTACTCAGCTGTAAATGAGTACGTGGCAATTGGGCAGTGCTATAATTGTTGAATGCTAGCTATGAGTGCCGAAATGGCAGCACCGGCTGTATGCTCCCCAGGGAGTTGAGAAAGATATTGGCTTGTTGCAAAAGCCTTATAAGCACGGATAATAATTTGTGAACCGCTTTGAAACAGCCTACGAACTAGGTTGTGATAAATCTGTATATAAAAAACCTCAAATTATTATTGTGCTATGTGATATCATACACACAGCAGCTATTGTAGGTGTGCTCTAAACCTACCATGCGAAAAAGATACTCATGAATCACCAAATTAGATTTTAGGCCTCTGGTGCTGGCATGTTTGCATCGAGGACATTATTTGAAGGCTTGAAAAAATTACTTGAACCATTCTCGGTTGAAGCAAGCATGTGGATAAATGCAATTTAGAATTAACTGAAAAATTATTTCTTAACTTTCTAGTTGTGTGAAATTTGAGGAGAGTAACGACCTAAGTCAGCTGATCTTCGGGACGGTGGCAGTCATACCAGCTAAGGATGCTGTCCCTATTGAGGTACTAGCCTGTTAGGTGAAGTTTGTGCCATAATGTTTTAAATTTAAAACACTGTCAAAAGACTTAAAAGATGAACTTTTATGACATTTTCATTTATGTCATGTTTCAGTATTTGTTAATCATTCAGAGGTGCTCTTTAGAAGATTGTATTTTTCTGTTAGTCAATATGTAACCTCCTTCAGCTATAAATCTAGACAAAAAGCCCATATATTAACAGAGACGACTTTGTATCATGCAATGTCCAAGCTGATAAAGTCTGAGCATTACTGAATGTTGATATGTATCTATGAAATTGGTATGGGGATGAGTCTATGGAAGAGGTGTTGTTCATTACAGAGCCTGGATCTGTTGGTGTTGCTGGACCCGACAGGTGCCCTGTGGGTGTATAGTGGAACCACTAAGGTCAGTCGACTTTAATCCCAACAATACCGTATGTTACCACTGGATATGCTCAAACTCATTATGATGTCCAACCCTTTGCTCAGCACTGAAATTTATCTCTCTTCTTGCCAATAGTGTCATATTGGAAAAAAATCGCTATCAATTTTAACACCTATCTTTGTCTGATGTATGCAATAAATATTTTGAGGATAATTTTGTCAAAATGGGATATAATATCAGCATGGAAATCCAATAATGATTGAAATGTTTTGCGCTTAATAATTGATCTGAAAGTAATTTTCCAATAAGATCGTCATTTTAAAGTAAAGAATGCTGTCGATTGTAAGTTTCTGCTGATTTCAAAGTGGTTGACATTTTTGCAGATTAATCGTCTCCATGTGCCGACCCTGCCATTAGGGTCAAGCTCACTGAGCATGCTAAGGACAACCACACCAATCAACAGTCCCAGTAGAGGCGGCTACTTTACCTCCTCCAGACCCCCCAGTGCCATGGAGGCTGGTTTTGATGAAGAGGTAAAATACAATATACATATTTTATTCACATGTATAATACTTTTTCTAGTTCCAAATCAAGTCAAATTTAGTTTTCTACTAAAAAATGTAAAAAAAAAAATGGTCCAATATTATGATTATAACTGTTTTGCTTTATTAAATCTTTGAACATAGATAAGGGGTCAGTTTGCTAATTAGAAATCCGTGCTGTTTGAGAGATATTGAACAACACTTGTGTGAGACCAGTAAGTTTTTACTATTTTTGTGCTTCCTGTGAAGCAAAGATGACATATATGACGTATTGCAGAGTTATCTTCTCATGTGAGCAGGTATTGATTGTTACGTAATTGGTTTGTGAGAGTAACGTCATCAATTTTTGAGAAAACGACGTAATTCTCTCACACAAACCAATGATGTAACAATCAATACCTGCTCACAAGAGAAGATAACTCTGCAATACGCAAAGACGTAATGGGGATTGCTCCTTCAGTGTCATTGCCGATGTTGTCCACATAAATAGGTTGCTGGGGATAACTCTTCAAGAAATTCTTTGATTTTCCTGAAACTTGCTGTGTATACCTATAATATCAGTTACCTGTTCAAGTTCAATTTTGACCCAAAGCTGAAGATCAAGCTGTGCTTACCCTGGATCATGTGAAGAGACGCCAGCAGTTATTCCACCTATTAAAACTGGGCTGATGATTTATCTACTTCTCGGGATTCCTTGTTTAAGGATCCCTGTACCATTGCCGAAAAATTAACAAAATGTTGGAAACTATTTGTTCAAACATGACTATAGCTTTGATCAATCATTTCTGTCAAGAAAAGAAAAACATATCTTGCAGGACTTTTAGGAGAAATAATAAAGATGAAATAAACAAGATATAATCAACAACCGTGTTTTGAGTGTAAAAGAAATCTGCGGGGCTAGACTGGGATTCGAACCCTGGACTTCAGATTGTTATACTATCGCTCTAACTGATTGAACTACCTGCTCAACAGAAGTGTCTTGGTCCAACTGTGCTACAGTAATATACAAACGGAGGTTAAGGGGAGGTTACTGTATATAGGAAAACCAACAGTGCATTGGGACAGGGATCCTTAAAAAAATCCTATTATTTAGGTCAATGATGATGTCCATTTAGTCTGTTTATGTATAAAATACATGTTAAATTATCATCAATCTTATTTTATGTTAACATTTAGATGACCCAGATGTCCCCAGTACCGACAGAGTTAGAGGACTCTTCCCAGTTCGACGAGTTTCCTATGCAGACCAGTTTTATACAGGGCATCAAGGACAATGTTGGGCCACGATTCACAATAGTAAGTTTACTTTAAAATAGCAGGTAGCTCCTCTCTGAAACCTTTTTTGTTGTTTTAGATTTTGCAAAATGATGTTACTTTAAGAATGTCTAAACAATGATTTATTGAGTGTCGTTACCAGACAAATGGCAGCTGTTCTATTCCGCAACCTATACATTGTCCCTTTAAAAAGGCTTCAATTTCGAGGAGAATAAGAACAATTTTCTATCAAACACAAAATTTAAAAACTGTTTGATAAATTCTTTTAAAATAAGCATTTGTAACTTTCCCATAGGTTGAAAAAAGATTATGTATACTAACCAGGTAGGTTTATCTACAATCAATTCACATTTCTATCTTGTCAATGCTTAGTTTTAATACAATGATTTACCAATATTTATCATCAGACCTCATGTTGTGCTTCATTTAACTACCATGGTAATTTACAATAGTTATCCTACTGTAGACTGATGATCCTGTCCTGTATTATTAATGTTGACTGATGTTTTCTTTATCCAATAGGAGCTGATGAACAACCACCTGTGCAGGGCCACCATGCCCACCATCACGTCGTCACCAGGAAGTTAGTAATACCGCCTCATTGTAACATTGTTAAATCTAAATAGTGATGCATGCCCCACAACAATATTTATGATGTTAATGTTTATAATATTTAGGACAATACACTTACAGCTTACTTTCAGCATATCAAAAGATATGTTTGATTCTTCAAAATGTTACAAAATGTACAATATTCATTGGGTCCAGACCATGACCCATTTTTAGCTTTCCAAAGGGCAAGTGAGCTTATGTCATGGTGCAGCATCCGTCTGTCCGTCGTCGTCCCTAAACTTTTCCTTAAAACAACTTCTTCTGAAGAACGAACAGGCATAGAGCCATGATATTTGACTAAAAGCTTTGTTGGTAAGAGCTTGACAAAGTTTGAGAACGAAAATGACCTTGACCTACTTTCAAGGTCATAGGGGTCAAAGGGGTCAAATGTGTCTAACACTTCAAACGACTTGAAAGATATAAAATCTTCAAATTTGGTTGGTGACCTCCTGTTGGTGGCTTCCTCTGACGCTTTCAACGAAGAACTAAAAGGTATAGAATCTTCATATTTGGCTGGTGGCCCCCTGGGATAGAGCCCAACAAAGTTTGAGAATGAAAATGACCTTGACCTACTTTCAAGGTCACAGCGGTCATATATGTCAAACTCTTTAAAGACTTCTTCTGAAGAACTAAAAGGTATATAACCTTCATATTTGGCTGTTGGCTTCCTGAGATAGAGCCCGACAAAGTTTGAGAATGAAAATGACCTTGACCTGCTTTCAAGGTCACAGGTGTCAAATATGTCAAAAACATTAAATGACCTCTTCTGAATAATCCAAAAGCATAAAATTATAATATTTGGCTGGTGGCTTCCTGGGATAGAGCTCACCGAATTAGCAAATGAAAATGACCTCAACCTACTTTAAAAGTCACAGAGGTCAACAACATTTCAAAGGATTTGTTCTGAAGAACCAAAAGGAATGGATTCATAAGGTTTGGCTGGTAGCTACTTGGGAACGAAGTTTGAGAAGGAAAATGACATTGACCCACTTACAAGGTCACAGGGAAAAATATGTCAAACAACTTCCGAAGAAAAATCAAATGCATGCAATCTTATAATAATAATTGGCTGGTAGTTTCAATGAGAATATTTTGCTATGACTGCTTAAATATTCAGGTGAGCGATACAGGCCCTATGGTCCTCTTGTTATTAGTCATGAGTTGCAAAAGTATTGGCAATAAGAGATGTCATGTAATAAATTTGAATATGTAATATTTCACCAGTAGTAAGCTGAAATCAAAATATGTTTGTCCTGGGGTTAACCAGCAGATATTATACACAAAATACTCGGGGCAATTCAAGCAAAACTTCTATTCCACTCAAGGAATTGAGATCTTGTTTAAGGGTACCAACTACAGAATGATTTAATAATTTGCTTGAAGAAAATGATAAAGAGCAAGCATAGATAGAAATGATTTATTTTGAAGTTCTTGGGTCACGCAGAATATTTGATGGAATAGCCTTTGAATGTTTTATTGAAGAAAAAAACCTATTAAAAAATTACTGTTATTGAAGCTTGTGACTGGGTGTTTTTGGCTCATGATATTGAAATGCATCAAATAGTGACCATTGTATTTACCTTTCAACCATTGAGACACATCTCTACCTTATACCTCAAAGATTTCATTAATGAAAAACTATGTACAGCACTCTCGTCCTTAAATGATTGTTTTCTTTGTCTGCAGTTGAGATGTGTCTGCAGGCCTTGAAGCACATGCTGCCCAAAGACCTGGCCATTTCAATATTAGGGAAATGGTACACAGCAAGAAATACCCCTGGAGGGCTGGGCAACCAATCAGAATGGAGCTTGTTTTCTAGGTGTTTGTTAGGCATGATGGGGTATGACACCACCCGACTTGCTCTCACTAACAAGGTAATGTTGAAGTTGAAATATTAACTTTAATCATTACTCAATTTGTAGGCATTCAGCGTTTGTCAGAACCACGGTGCAGAAGTCTGTTCTATTGTTTTTAAACTTGCGCAGTTAATAGTTCGTTGTAACTTCAACCAACTCTTGATATATACATTGAATTACTGATTTTTGTGTTGAATAACCGATTGAGCTACCTTGGCAAAGAACGTGTTCTGGTCCAATTGCTCTACAGATGTTTCTGAACGGTAGTTAAAGGGAGATTACTGTATATAGGTAAAAACGACAGTGCGGTAGGACAGGGAATATATTGTTTGTGCACTGTCCTCACCTTCACATCTATTGCAGCATGAGATGGACACATCAATGTCTCCCGTTGTGGCGGTCAAGCGGCCGAAGCAGTCTGACCAGGGCTCTGATGATGTATGTAACAAATTTAATCTAATTTCAATCTCTATGAATGTGAAATTTTTTCAAAATCTTGGTTACTTACAGTAAAACAATTACTGAACCATCAGTGTGTCATGTGTCAAGTACATTGATTTAGTTTCACAACTGTCTTACTTGATTTTCAAAGTTCATCATAATTTTTAAAAACCTTAAAGAGTTAAACTGAATGAAAAAAGAAGCCATGAATTTATTGTAGGGTCAAATAGAGCACAATCAAAAAACAACCTGCCCAGAATTTTGCATTTCAATGACATTATTTTGAAAAAAATGTAATTTTAAAACGAGAAATTCAACATTTTTCATGTAAAGCATTATCTTTGATCCTTGAATCACCATCTGGGCCAATGATTAAATGTGCTTTAATGTTATGTTTGTATATAGGACTGGGAAGGCCTGCTCTCCTCGTCCCACCACCAGTACACAACACAGTGTATGGACCCCACCCTGGGCCTCAGCCTCTGTACAGCCATCCCTGATGCTTCCTCGTACTCGAAGCCCTGTGCCATCAACACCAGTGCTGTTCTGTTCCCTCACATCCCCGCGGTCATGATGGGGCTACATCTTATCTACGAGGTCTGTATGATAAATCAGTGGGGAAATCTGACACCAATTAATGAAAAAAACGTGATGTACTTATGTATGCTCAGTCATAATGTTAAAGCTGTATGCATCAGGATTGAGTGTTTCCTCCCTGCGACATGCTGCAGGAATACAATGGTTTTATATACAGTGGTTTAGTGATTTAGAATCGGCACAGAAATCTGATAGATGTTAAAATAATAATAATGTTAACAGTAAATCTATTCTCCAAAATGCTATTCAAAAAAAAGATTCCAGATTCCACCAAATTGAACTGTTTATGAAAGAATTGTTATTAATCAATAATTATAATTTAAAGATAATGTAATGAATGGACAGACCATAACTTTTACTTGTTTACTAGATCAAATCTGTATGTGGGATCAAGATTTGTTATAAATCCAACCAACTTTGTTCCCAGCTAATGTGGCTGAATCGTTGAAGACTGGATCATAGAGACACTTTTGAAGAGAAAGCTCTGTTTTGATATGTAATTATTTAGATCACTGTTGTCTCTGTGTCATCGTGCTTGGGAATCTAACCCTGGCCGCCTTGGTGAAAGGCGAGTGCGTTATATTCACTGTGCCACCGACCCCAAATTATACTATAAAGACAATCTGATGGTGGTTGGATTTATGGCCAATTGACATTCGATTGTGACTTCATTGCTATTAAGAATCGTGACAGTTTACTTGTAGTTTACAGGAAATTATATATCAATACTATTTTCAATTTCCTTGTATTTAACAGGAGATGAAGCTCAACACACTCCTGGTGGAGGATGTGGAGAAACTGGTTCCAATTCTCTACCAGATAGCTAGGTAAGACTATTTTTGAGTTAACTATTTGGTTCTGTTTTGGAGAACACTCTACTCTGGGCATAGAATAATTTTTCTCCCGCCTCTGTATATGATGGATACATGTCCACATGTCCCATGTGGGATACGTGTATGGGATACGTGTATCCGACATGGGTGGGCTCACTTACCTGTGATGTCACAATCAGATGATGATGTTATATTTTGACGTCACAATTGTTGTTTGACTGACTATGGTAATCTTGCCATCGGCAAGTGACACCACCTAAAGTACATAAAAATTGTTGAACAGGTTTGCAGGTCTTGCATATGTCTTTATATCTGAGGAATACCATTCTTTTTTCTGATCTTTCCAAATGTGGCCATAGTTTGTGCAAACTAGAAATTTTTCTGTATTTAGTGTTGTATTTGCATTGTCCATGTCCCGTTTACCAAAATTTCGGTTGAGAGGTGGGAGAAATTAGTCTTCCATATGTATGTGGGATATGAATATTCTACTCTCGGGGGCAGAATGTGGTGTCAGAACCAGGGCAAATCCTCGGCCCTGACCGAAGTCCTTCATCCTCAGGTAGAATATCCATATCCCACATGCCTGCATGTGATAGACTCTGTTACTATTGTTTATTAATCAGTTACCTGTAGATACATATATGAATGTGATGAAGTAATACATAAGCTGTGTTTTGTTTCAGTGACTTGAAGTGCACCAACTACACAGACTATTACTGCAGAGATTTCCAGCATCTGTTTGATGCTGTAGATGATGTTAGTCAGATTACAGAAGGTAAGGTTAATGTAGCATGCATGTTTTACTGTTTTGTGCAGGATGTATGAAGATCTGCTTCCTTTATGCAACTGAGATAACATCATGGAGATTTGATTTGTCTACCTCCCACAAAGACAATTTATGTTCAATAGATTTTTGTTGGAAATATAATAATTCCAGTCTAGCTATGTGATTGGTAGTTTTAAGTATTTGAACTAAGATCCACAAGAAGTATGAAATCGTATATGAAATTGAATGTATCTTAGAAGTGGAATTTTTCCACAATGCTCATGAAATTTGATGTTGAAGTGAAGATGTACAGCATGTTATGTGTTATCTTCCTTTGATTACAGATCACCTCCACAAGATGGTGTACCCTGGAGTGTTTAATCAGTTTGTACCCTCAGTTTTACACTGGCTCCAGTCCAGTCAAAGGGGAGACGACCCTGGGGCACTCCCCTATATACCCGGTGTCTGTAACAACATCAAAAATGTGATATCGGTAAGGCATCAAGCAGAAATGGTTTAATATGTAGTCAGGGAAATAGAGAGGGGCTTGATTTATTATGTCAAAAGCATGAATAATCTTGAGTTGATATGATCACGTTCATTTTGGTTCTCACTGATATTGTGTATCATAAGAATGGGGGGGGGGGGGGGGGGGGGGCATATACCCATAACTATCCCATCTCTTTTTTTTGTCCTGTCGCAATTCATTGTTATGGCTCTACCAATTTCATTTCCGAACAGATTTTAATCAAAGTTTATACAAAGGTAAAGTATGAGTGTGCCGCCTCAGATAAATTTGTATCTTAGGGTTTCCAAGAACAGTTTCAAGGTCATTTTTTGCTATTTATAGGTGAATCATTGTTATTTTTTTCAAAAGATTTATTTTTCATCAGTTTACTGACTCAAGGGGCAGGAGGGCATCCAGGTCTTACAGATGTCTTCTAATTCTGATAATGATGTTGGCTCAAAAAGACTTAAATTGTCGACCAATACAAAAAACAAAACTAAACAAAACTCACAATGATGAGCGTACTAGGTGTCACAGTAATACACGAATAACGAACAAACTTTGTTCCATCCCACAGCTGTATGCATTGCTATTGAAGCGAGACCTGACCACAGAGCAGGCCATAGACAAATGTCTACGACGGGTCGCTCCAGCAGGTAAGTTTGTCATAATTATGCCAACGCAATAAAATGGGCATATAGTGTTGCCCATGTCCATCGCGTCGCGTCTTGTCCCGTCCCGTCCCGTCCCCATCCATGAGCGGGGGGCATTTATGTCTTACAGACATTCTCAAGTTTCTTTAAAACTTACCATGAGAGATCATCTCTGTCGAAGGATTCAGGAAGAAAATTGAACTTGATATGGGAGTCCACACTTTTGAGAAACAATCTTTATGGAATGATCGATATCGAGAAAAACCACAGACCTACGGCCAGTACCTGGTGACTGTCCCGCATAGGCCTCAAACTCGCGACCCAGTGGTGGAGGGCTAATGGTAGCAGAATGTCAGAAGCCTTAACCACTTGGCCACCGCTGTCCCTAATGTTAAATGAAAAAAAAACAACACATTAGGGTTGTACTCTTTCTAGGTATCCGATGTTCACAGTTGTGCTTGAAAGCCAATGTTCATAGCCGTGTTGAATTCTTGGATTCATTTTTCAGTGGAAATTATGAAAATAACCATGTGTACGGGAGTTGGTTTATCAGAGTTTGATTTCTATTAAACCTCATTTTTTTTCGTTTGTTGCAGGTCACCGAGCACCCACCTGTGATTTATCCATGTCTAGGAGTTTCTCCAGAAGTTTCTCTATATGTGTGCCCAGTGCGAGTGTACCAGAGAGGATAGTCCTTTATATGACAGAAATTGGTTAGTTATACTGTACCTGTGAAATCATCTATTGTATAAATAAATCTGGACCCATAACAAATCACGACTAACGATATTTGTTATTTTATACTAAGATTTTTGTATTGTCAAAGGGTAATGTCTTGTCTAAGTAATTGGCATCTTGCAAATTTATTTAATGAGATACACAATGTATTTGAGATGTCAACATAAGAACACATAACCTTTTGGGATGGAAAAGCATCTTTGAATTGAAGTTAACAGTGATAAAGGTTTAAATTTAATATTGTTAATAAACTTCAATTTATCTTAAGAAATTCAATATATTTATTGAGTGCTCAGATTAACAGGTTCTTTTAAAAAAGGTATCATTTAATAGTCCTTGACACTGTTTTGTATCTGACAAAGTGATTGTGATATCATTTCCTTCAGGTATGACCAATCAGGACCTTGAATACTTGCCTGTTGGGATCTCCCTTCCTATACGGGAAGCAATATTTCACTGCAGATGTAACGCACCTTCTGATTGGACAGAACAAGCATACACGTTGATAGGTAAGTGTACACGGGTCTATGTGTACAATGTGAATGTCATTTGTAATAATAAAATACAGATTGTATTTGTTACTGAGGGTGAAGTAGTTCAACTGTATTGATTGAGGACAGTAAACGTCAAAACCTATGTTTGTAGGGAGGCAAGACCTGTCCCAGCTACTGGGGATGGAAAACAAGAAGCCTCAAGCTCCCCCGGGGATCTACACCAAACAACCCCACCCACAATCCAAGCGCTCTAAGGAGGAGGAGGATGGTATGGAACACTTGGATGAGGAGGTAAGCATTACAAATAAGGCTTTTGAGGAGTTTAGTACTGCAAGTGAGGCTCTGGAGGAGTTGAGCACTGCAAGTGAGGCTCTTGAGGAGTTTAGCACTGCAAGTGAGGCTATGGAGGAGTTTAGCACTGCAAGTGAGGCTATGGAGGAGTTTAGCACTGCAAGTGCCATAGGCTATCGATGAGTTGAGCACTGTAAGTGAGGCTATGGAGGAGTTGAGCACTGCAAGTGAGGCTATGGAGGAGTTGATCACTGCAAGTGAGGCTATCGAGGACTTGAGCACTGCAAGTGAGGCTATGGAGGAGTTGAGCATTGTAAGTGAGGCTATGGAGGAGTTGAGCACTGCAAGTGAGGCTCTGAAGGAGTTACATGCTGCAAATGGTGTCTGGACATACCTGACCCTGGTTCACATCTTCTTATGCCTTCCTACGCGACAAAGTTGGAGGGAACATAGGGTTCCATAGAAATATATCAGAAATCCTTCGTGATGCTGTAGCAACTTCCATTTTTTGAACAGATTTTGATTAAACTTTATGTAAATATTAGATATATCAATACCTTAAATGAGTTTACATTTTAAGGTGCTACACTCAGCCAAGTAAAAATAATGTTTTTAATGTGCTAGTATCTTTACTTTGCAAAGGAGATCCATGAAACACCATACATTGGAAGTAGGGGGAATATCAATTATTTGTGATCCCTTGTTCGAATATCAATGTGTTAATTTAAATGTGATGTTTTCAATACCACAAATGAAAACTTACTCTCAGAACATTTCATTTTGAACACTGATTCCCTATAGCTACACTGGTGTAAATCTTGTGTGCAGTAATACCTAAACAAATGTAGATTTTTTTTCTCTGTTAGTCGATCTGTTCATCTCTCTTAAACATTTTCTCATGTTTGATTTATAAATAATGACTATGTTGTATTTGACAGTTGCTGAGACTGCGGTTCAGTGAAGACCTACGAGTACAGGAGGTGCGTAGGTTGTTACAATCTTCACGTCCCGCCAGGATAGCCCTAGTACAACGCCCTGAGGTCAGGTAGGTACTCTCCACAAACAAGAGCTGCTAAAACTTGTGTTTTGAAATTGGATTTGATTCTTTTCCAAGAAAAGTTCAATGCATGAGACGTATGGGAACCTTTCTTTTAACCCTGCACATTTTACATTTTTTGGTTGTCTTTCATGCTTCCCATAGTTTCAATGACAAGTCATGAGTATTTGTATTAGCTCCTTGTCAGTGAAACAGTGCAGTGGGTATACTTGACGTTTCTGTCTTCATCTGTGTAGCCAGTTGATATGTAAGCCATTTGTTCTCAACAGCAATTTTGTTACCTGAATCTCTATATATGATACATATTAAGCAATTTTGGCTGTTTCCTAGGAAAAGTTACTATGAATGATCAACAGTTAAAAATATAGCAACAATGTCTGGTCAATGTAGTTTAATTTGCCGCTTGCCAGGCAAATTGTGAAATTGGCTGACAGCTGAGCTCAACAGCAAGGGTTTGAAGAAACTGATGATGCAGATGATGTTGGATAGCATTTGGTTTTCTTTGATCAGGTAACAAAATGGTTGTTTTATGTCTTGAAAGCCAACATTCAAAACTACTTCCCTATGTGCTGTTGGCATTAAAGGTATGAAACAACGGAATACTCTTGAAGTATTGTGCTTACAGTTATCACCACAAGATAGCCAACATGAAAATTAGCTGTCAGGTTGTGCAGATCTGAATCAGGATATGTTTGATACTATATTTCATGGTCAGTTTGCATGTTTTCTCATTCCATTTCAGTGATCACGACTTCATTGAGGAACAAGAAAAGCATTTGTATTCCATTTGTATAAGGACCATGGCTCTTCCTGTAGGCAGGTATGTACTCAGGATTATATATATATATGACAAGCTTGTCATTACTCCATTTACTTTATGCATGTATTGATACTTTAGTACAGAATACGTCATTGACAGTATTAAAAGCAACTTAGAATAACCTAGTAATAATATATAGCAAAACCGTGCAAATGTACAATTATTTGTCTGGTGAAATTATGGCATTATAAGTTGGTTGGTTGATAGGGTTTAAGCTCCTGTTAACAGCTAAGGTCATTTAGGGCTAGCTTTGGTATTAAAAAGGGGTTTGTCAACACATCAAGAGACATAAAAGAGGTATTGGTTGAAAATAATAGATAGTGCTTTTAAATATGTTGGTGTTAAGAGCCTAATGAAATGAGGAGCATTATATCAAGGGGCTTGCTGTAGCTGTGTCAGTATTTGATGGTTTTCTTAGGTAATTAAGTCACTCACAATAGAAAGTGATATCACAACAATTACATGTTTTTATTTCAGAGGCATGTTCACCCTGTCAACGTATCACCCCTTACCCACAGAGGCCATCCCTATCCCCAAGCTGTGTCTGACAGGCAAAGCACCTCCCAGGTAAATTATAGCAAAAATGTGTCTTACAGGCAAAGCAACTCCCAGGTAAATTATAGCCAAAATGTGTCTTACTGGCAAAACACCTCCCAGGTAAATTATAGCAAAAATGAGTCTTACAGGCAAAGCACCTCCCAGGTAAATGATAGCAAAAATGTGTCTTACAGGCAAAGCAACTCCCAGGTAAATTATAGCCAAAATGTGTCTTACTGGCAAAACACCTCCCAGGTAAATTATAGCAAAAATGGGTCTTACAGGCAAAGCACCTCCCAGGTAAATGATAGCAAAAATGTGTCTTACAGGCAAAGCAACTCCCAGGTAAATTATAGCCAAAATGTGTCTTACTGGCAAAACACCTCCCAGGTAAATTATAGCAAAAATGTATCTTACAGGCAAAGCACCTCCCAGGTAAATTATAGCAAAAATGTGTCTTACAGGCAAAGCACCTCACAGGTAAATTATAGCAAAAATGTGTCTTACAGGCAAAGCACCTCACAGGTAAATTATAGCAAAAATGTGTCTTACAGGCAAAGCAACTCCCAGGTAAATTATAGCCAAAATGTGTCTTACTGGCAAAACACCTCCCAGGTAAATTATAGCAAAAATGAGTCTTACAGGCAAAGCACCTCCCAGGTAAATTATAGCAAAAATGTGTCTTACAGGCAAAGCACCTCCCAGGTAAATTATAGCACAAACTCTATCTTACAGGTAAGGCACCTCCTTAGTTTACAGCCCAGATATACAGTATTGACAAAACAAATTTTTAAAGGTCTCATTAGTTATAAAAACAGTATGGTCAAATATAGGCACTGGATCCAAACAAACAGATGTTCACTGAATGTGTATTACTTAAATAGATAAATAAGTAAGGAAGTGGTAGTGGCAGTGCAGACAAAGAAACTTGTCTTTGTCTGCAATGTCTCTAATACATTTTACTTATGTATAGTGAATCCTTGATAGCAGATAAACGTCCTGATGAAAGGTAAATCTGTAATCACTTAGGAGGCTAGTTTGACTGATTACTGATGTTTTGTTTACCAGGTTCCTCTGTATGCATATCATGTGTAAAGCAGTTGTTTTAAGTAGTTTTAAAATACTGTATACTGGGAAACTTTTGTCCAGGATTTTGTTTGCCCTTCGCTAGTAAATGTTCATGTCACCCTTCACATTTGATACTCTGTTTATTATGTAGCTTTCTAATGTTCGCTGTAATTATAAATTTGCCCTCATTACGGAGGGCAAAAAAGGGGAAAATTGAAACTACAGCGACAATTTCCTGGTATACAGTAGATTTGTCTTCTGTTTTCTTTGTAATGGAATTAAAAAAGATATATCATAATTTTCAGAAATGCAACTGTCGACCTTACCCATATAGACACGCCAGCAAACATGTCAGCCTGGCCCCAGTTCCACAACGGTGTGGCGGCTGGACTGCGGATAGCCAACTCGTCACAGGTAGATACCACCTGGATCATATACAACAAGCCAAAGAGTAACGAGTTCACCAACGAGTACGCTGGCTTCCTCATGGCACTGGGTCTGAATGGTCATCTCAACCTCAACACTCTCAATATCCACGATTACCTCAGCAAGGTAGGTCATGTACAGACTTGTGAATGGTTCATGACAATCAGTTTGTGATTCATGACAATCAGTTCGTGATTCATGACAATCAGTTCGTGATTGTAAAATGGTTACTCATGGCAATTAGTTCATGAATGTGAACAGTACTAGTCCTATTGATATTGAAGCTTGAATCGTATATTGTTTCAATCTGCAATCCTTTTGATAAATTGCTGATTTTTCTCCAGAGCAAGTAGCTTTGTACATCCCCCTTTAATTTTTGATTTTTTTTCTATATGCTACTATCAATACCACCCCTCCCCCTCTGCCCACTCTCTCTAAACCTTGTGAAAACACTGCAGTTGTCTCAATTAGCATTGAGGTACCCATGTGTGTATTAATTCTATGTTAATAAAGCATGTTAATAGAGTTTTCAAAATCAGAAATGATTACAGTTTTGAAACTACAATGACTATATGATGAATTGGCCGTTACTTCTAACATGTTATGTTATCTGACAGGGCCATGAGATGATTACTGTGGGACTTCTCCTGGGAATGGCTGCAGCCAAGTAAGTGTTTGGTCATTAGACTACCTTGTCAATGGCATGTCATTAGGGAGTAAACTGTGTTTGGAAAATTCTAATGATTGATTGAAATATTGAATTGTTGATTAATTTTACTGCTCGGTAGAACCAATATGTCTGCATATGTTAGCAATTTTTAGATGCAGCTCAATTTTGATTAAATTTTTGAGATTTGTTCTTTCCCTTATACAGGCGTGGTACAATGGATTTGGCAACGATGAAACTCCTCAGTATCCATGTACCCGCCCTGCTGCCTCCCACCTCCACCGAGCTAAATGTCCCCCACAATGTACAGGTGGCCGGAGTACTGGGGGTTGGCCTGGTCTACCAGGGTACCGCCCATAGACACACCGCAGAGGTTCTGCTGTCAGAGATAGGTAAGGAGTACTGGGGGTAGGGCTGGTCTACCAGGGTACCGCCCATAGACACACCGCAGAGGTTCTACTGTCAGAGATAGGTAAGTAGAACTGGGGGTTGGCCTGGTCTACCAGGGTACTGCCCATAGACACACTGCAGAGGTTTCTACTGTCAGAGATAAGTAAGTAGGACTGGGGGTTGGCCTGGTCTACCAGGGTACCGCCCATAGACACACTGCAGAGGTTCTACTGTCAGAGATAAGTAAGTAGAACTGGGGGTTGGGGCTGGTCTACCAGGGTACCGCCCATAGACACACTGCAGAGGTTCTACTGTCAGAGATAAGTAAGTGGAACTGGGGGTTGGCCTGGTCTACCAGGGTACTGCCCATAGACACACTGCAGAGGTTCTACTGTCAGAGATAAGTAAAGAGTATTAGATTAGGGGTGGTGCTGGTTTACTAGGGTACTGCCCTTACACACATTGCAGCTGCAGCTAGGGTCATATACCATCACCTTCTTTTGTGCTTTCTTTAGTACAGTACATTTCTTAGTTTTTTCCCCACCTTTGACCTTGACCTATGTGACCTTGGTTAAGTTTTGGCATTTAGGTTGGCTAGGGACTAATTATAAGTACTGTAGCTAGGGTCATCTTACTTCACATTATAAG